GTTCTTTTCCTTTCTGTAGCTCTGAGGTGCCAATGAACATTTAGGGCTTTCTTGTGAACTCTATAACTTTGCAAAGAAAGGTCGCGTAGAGCTGGGAGATGCCTCGTTTTGATCAGAAATTTATGGACTACAATTACGCCTCATTAAGAAAGCTTTTGGTTGATCATCAGAGTTTCTCAAAAACTGGTTTTTCAGAAAACCGATCTTTGAAGACCTAGCAGCAGCATTCATGGTGATATTTGAAATCAGCATCGTCCACTACCTGTAGTCCACTCGGTTTCGTTGAAAAAGCGATTTATCAGTTGGGGTACTTCCCTCGTCAGTTGAATCCCTCGAACGATCAACATCAGTAAGATGCCGAATTTCCCTAATGGCGTCAACAATATCTACAAGAAATGACCGAGATTCAAGAAAGAATTGAAGCTATCCACCAACAGCAGGCTGCTGAGGCCACAGCTAGGGAAGCGACAGATTCAGAACGTTAACTTCACGAATGGTTAACTCATCAACTAGAAATAGAAGATGCTCAACAACCCGTGCTTCAATTTTCCACATCATGCGTTACACATTTACAACAGCGTTATGTTCTAATTCTAAATTTGGGTAGTTTTCTATCTTGCCTACTTTATTTCTGGAAGAAATAATAATCCAGATAATCATATGAAACACCCTTAAAAATACAGCTATTTATATATACAAAATTTACAAAAAATAGAATGCACGAGAAACAGATAGAAGGTTAATGACGTCAGTAGAATGGAAATGAATATGACGCATACTACTCACCTAGACTTATGACGTCAGTAGAACAGAAAGGAAAAGAACAGTCACTATTTCAGACATATGATCAACTTATATCTTGATCACGTAACAAACAAAAACTAATTTATAGTTATATTCTGACTCGTATAAACATATGTCCAAGATAACAAAAGAAAATGTCAATGTTAGATACAAAATGTTATTGTTATATCAAAATACTTATAAATTTGTATGAAAACTAACGCATATACTCGCATATGTGCAGGATGGACGTTGTACATGTTCCAATTGACTACACTATCAATGTACTTACATTTGATACACGATAGTTAACATTAGTTTGAGTTTTTATAACCGGTATTTTAGAAATGTTCCTGTGGAGTCCTCTAGGCCATTAGTGAATCTGCCATAAATCTACTTTCAGACTTCAATAGTCTAAGATTCGTAGATTCTCGTGGCACAAGAGTCCCCGGATTCTGAGAGGTATTGGATGAGAAAATTGAATTTTGATTAGAGCCTCATTTCGCTTTGGAGCCACTTTGCAGCTCCATTATAACTCAGGTAAGACAGTTGGTTAAATCAAAACCATCATTTCGTGTACTCATGTACCCATACTATATATACCGATGACATTGAAGTCAATGTGTGACTTTCGACAAACAAAAACGTTTTTCAAAAGCGGCACAAAAGTAAAATGTTTACCTTATTGTCCGCATTGTTCGCACACGTGCGACATTTATTCTTGCATATGCTCTTGGCTATAGACAGTACTCGACCTCGACTACTCATGCTCTAAATAGTAGATCTTAATGTACTTTCTAGACAGAGATAAAACCATTGCAAATTTCAGTTTTACACACCTATTGTTTCAGTGTTTTTAGGGCTTTTACGAAAAATTTGATAACTTTTGAAGAGAGTAAGTTAAGGCCAAAAATTTTTTGGGAATCCTCTTAAATGTGTTGCTGGTACCTATTGTGAAAGTTTGACCGGAAAAATCCGACATCGATTGAGCAACTTAGGTCGTCCCTTCCGTGCAACGGTTCTTAATTTGTTTGATTTTAACATGTACTCATTTAAGGTTAAAAGCTCTCATTCTTTAGTGTATGGGTGAATAAGAGTCATGCTGGTCTGTTGTTTGAAGAATTTCTTGATCGTTACTATATGAATGATAACAGTGTAGTGCTGAATAAAAAAAAAATACTTTGGAAAATCCAGACTAACAAAGCCAATGAAAATTTGATTGTTTTTGAACTTGAAGAGCTTTTCGCAATTTTAAATTTTTTCAAAAATTAAAAAGTTTATTTTCTTATTCAGCTCGATACACTCTATTCAACGATGTCTAATAAGTTGGAAAAAAAATTTACTATAAGTTTGCATTACACGCAAATTACTTCTTATAATACATAAAGCTTTCAAAATGCTGAGATTAGACTTTTAAATTGAATTTCTCGTAAAGTATACATGTACTCTAAGACATTTTCATTTATTAACGTTTAACGAAAGATTCGAATAACTCATTTTTGTGACTGCCTCCAAACTGTGAGCACGATCGTTAATTTTTTACAGTTTATTTATCATGTTCTTATGCAATAATACGATTAAGTGATAATATAGTTCATATGCCTACTTTATCTGTTAAATATAGATATATAGATGGCAACAGCACAAAAACTTCGTATATTGGGTATTATTGGTTCTCTAAGAGCAAAATCATATAATCGTCAATTAATGATTAATGCACAACAAATTATTTCTCATATGGATAATGCTGAAATAGAAATATTTGAAGATATTGGTCAATTACCATTTGTTAATGAAGATAAAGAACTAGATTATTGTCAAAATGATGATAATGTTAAACGTTTTAAACAATCAATTGAACAATCAGATGCTGTTTTATTTGCAACGCCAGAATATAATTTTTCTATTCCCGGTGTATTAAAAAATGCTATTGATATTGGTACACGACCAGGTCCTAAAAATAGTTTTATAAATAAAGCAATTGGTGTTATGTCAGCATCACCAGGAAATTTAGGTGGTATTCGTGCACAAGGTGTTCTACGACAGACATTTTTTGCATTTGGACCATCAACCGGTTATCCAGAATATATTTTACCTCGTGCTGGTCAAGCATTTGATGAACAGGGAAAATTAAAAGATGCACAAGCTGAAAAATTATTAAAATCATATTTACAACAGTTAGTGAATCTGGCGTTAAAACACAAGAATAGTAGTCCTACAACAATAAAGAGTAACAAATGAAGAATACGTGACATAATATTATCGTCATTTTCTAGTAGAACGGCAACTTAAAGTTGCAATATATATATATATATATTAAACAGACCACAGTGAGAACACTTAGACTGTAGAGCGATTATTTATTTAGCTTAGCATTTATGAAATGTATCAGACAATTTTAGTTAGAACATAAACAATCGACAATATAATCGGATGATTGTCTATGGCTTATACGGTAAACGTGTGTGTGCTATATCGACGTTTTTCTTCTCGTGTTAGACAAAACGAAAAAGCAGTGTCTGTTATACACGGGCATTTATTTCTGAAAGTGGTGTTTTTATATTCAAAGTTTGAGTCACCAGTACGCGAAAAGAAGAGTTCTAAAGAACATTGTTAAGTCATAGTCGAGTCTTCTTTCTCAAAAAATGTACTATATCTAAGGACTTCTGTGTTTTATTTCTTAATCGATGTTTACTATGCAAAGGTCTTGAAATAAGAATGCGCAGTAGTGAGAAATGCATCAAAGGCTGATGTCTTTTACAACAATTGTGAGTATCCTTGGTGTAAGATCGCTTGCCATCAGTGACTTTCAGGGTGTAGCAAAAATCACTTCGATTCTGTTTGACGCACAGGCAATTGGGGCTAAGCCATTCGCAGAATATTAGATTGGCTCTAATAACGAACTGATCTTAGCGATAATATCTTCGAGTATATATTCTCCGAAAGTCCAAATGTGAATATTTTTTACATACGACAAGTGTTACCTTATCGGTAATATTCACACGCGAACTAAACAAAAAACTATTAAAATAGTTTTTATGACAGATAGACAGCATGTTTACAAATAAAATTGCTGCGTACTTATTTTAAGCTCAATCTCGAAGCGAGTCTGAGATGAATGATTCATCTTGATTTCATTATGATCCCAATAGTAAAATATTTAATTCTTTATTGATTGAATAGAGGACGTCGATTTACATACAAAAGTATCAGTTTTAGTTGACTTTTGTTCGAAAAATTTAAATTTTTTTTATTCAATTTTTAAAATTAGGTGAAATTGACTACAACTTTTGACAATAAGCTAAATATTCATCCGTGCCACTGCATTTTAAAGAATATTTATTTCTCTGTCGATATGAATGATTTTTAAACATTTTTAAAGGTTGTCCACAAAACTAGCTGTTTAAAGGCCTTCTCTAAAGCCTCTGGAGACTTCGCTGATCTGTCTGTTAAAATTTACATGATTTGTTCTCTGTATGTGTAGTTCTTAACTTACAGGCACATAGGTTTGATAGCTTTTTTTGAAAAAATTCCTAACTCATCAGTTATGAAAACCTACCAACTTTAAAGAAATAAGATTTTCTCAACAATGGACCAACAGGCTGAAAATAGCGATGCTCTCTCTTCTTTTCATGAGTGTAATGCTTTAAATGGAATAAAAGAGATTGTTTTATCTTTCAACTAGAAAAAGTACGGTGCCTTTGAGCATCCAGCGGTTCTGTTTGTATTGAACGAACTCATTGGTCGTTTTATGTTCTAATTATGTCTGACTTTCATTTTTATAACCAGTTTTATACGGTGTTATTGTTGTTAAATCTAACAATGAGAGAAGTGAGAAGTACACAGTAAAAACAAGAACAATAGAAATAAAATTACTTCATTTTTTTAAAATTATTAAAACAATAGAAATAGAATAATTTTTTTATTTAGATCTCTGTTTTTCTCTTCTTTTTTTCATATTCCTAACAAATACTAATTTAGAAAGATCTTCAAGAAAACAGAACTGTTGAATTTACGAGAATGCACCGATATAGCCAAAGACTTCCTAACCATTAGTCGATAAGGTCTTTTAAAAACGACTTCAAATTTTGACTTTATTGAGATTAATCAAGTGATCCATCTTTTGAACATATATACCTACGCTGATGGAGGTTTCTATTCTGAAATATAATCTCATAAAGAATTAGAATTTATTTATAGTATAAATATCTTACTGATATACTTTATATCACTAGAGAGTTAGGTCTCAAAAAAGATGCAGTGGAGTATTAAATGCTACGATTACCATTTGACAGAAGGACTTGAATTATGAACGAACAGCTACAAGATAGGCTACCTTAGAAGTTTTACAATTCATTTTTGGCTGCTGAGTAGGCCTGGTTTCTTTCTCCACTAAAGAATTGATCAGGCTTTATGAGCGCATGAAGTTTTTTCACACCTTTTTTCAAGACTTGGGATTTTTTCTT